CGACAAGTCAGGTCTACCGCCATTTCACACCTGTTTCTTCACTATCATGGCGCAGAGGGTTGGCATAAAGAAACTGAGCATCCCGAAGTGGTTGCCACGAAGAAGAGCCCAGAAGTGAGTCAAAGCATCCAGCATCAACGACAGCTGAACGTACTGAAGGAGGAAGGCGATAGTGTTTTTCATGAATGATACAAGAGATGGCAAGGCGTCCAGGGTTATACGCACCAGGATCACATGATACAAGGAACGACGGGATATGAACGGACATGAAAAGGTGCACGACGGGCGGCTAACATGTGCTCCATGGAAATGAACGAGATGGGACAAGACTAGAATTTCAACAATAAAAGGATAAGATTCATCAATGAGAGGGCGGTTTGAGAGATGGGACAGCAAAAGGGATGGATAAAAGTCTTGCCCGTCGCCTTGGGGGGCACCCCCGGCAATTGGAAATTGCCTCGCCGACCCCCATAAAGGGGGTCTGTGGGGGACCCCGCCCCCCGGCTCGAGGGCGCGTTAAAGCTGAACCAGAATATTCGCTGCAACACCTCTCACAATGAACGGGGTCTGTCCCCACAACCTTGAGATTTTCATGGCCGCTACGTAGAGCAAAATGTGAGCTTTTCGAACGGGATGAGCAGTCATATCATTTACCTCTCGAACTTGAGGGTCGGATATTCCGAATTCCATGCGTTGACGGAGCTCGACTGAACCCGCACTTGGGCTCCACGCTCGTATGCCTTGAATTCTTAGTGGTCACATTCAGGACGAGCGGCTTCACGAACGACTTGCAGGGCCCATCAAGGTTGAGGTAATCATCGTATGCCTCGCTGGATATACAAGTATTTGTCCTGCATAATCTCCTTAAGATCTTGGTATCACCTCGTCTCGATCACGGATTTCAGTCGGAGTATAGAGACAGCATCAACTGCTGCAGATGTCTATACCATCAGGCGGAACAACCACCCACGCCACAAGGCTATCGGCTATTCCCCGTAGGTCTTCAAATTCCGAGAGACAGACTGCTATGGACTCCTTCGGGTCTAGATCAGATAGGCATAGCAACTGATCGATGGATTAATCGACTCGAAGGTCGAGGTGGCGACCCGTTGGTGCAAGCAATAGTCTTGTAGAAGAGACAGGCCATGTCATGGGAACGGCAAGGCCGAACAGACACGCAATTTCCTCGCTTCGCATTCGACTCATGGGAATCCGAGGGTTGCCTGTAATGAGATCAGAGTCAGCCAGTGTTGATTCAGTTGGACGAGGCAATGTACTTTACGTTGTTGATGAAGACGTCCCTTGTGATCGAAGGTATGCTTCAGACAGTCGGTCAGTCAGGATCGTCGTCATACCCATATCTCTTGTGCAACGCTGTCATCAATATGCCGCGTTGTATCCAATCAGTTTGTTTGGGAAAGCCACACTGGGTGTGTAGGGCAGGCTTTCAAGACGGAAAACGCGGGCGACAAACCTATCTGTTTTATGATTGTACAGTCGTATTGGAGGACTCCTTGTAGAGACACACCGTCGTTCAGTGTGCGATCGCGGTTGAGGTGGAGACGCGATGGAGCGCGTCAGCCCGCAGTTTTATCTGACTTGGCGGGAATAGCTTTTCTCGTGACAAGAGTTTCCGCAGTTGGTGATGGGCTGCTACAATGGCATGCTACTGTCAGTGATTTTCGTGTCTGTGGCACAAACTTGGCACAAGGCATCGGACTTGACGCGGCCAGAGGCGCGATATTCAACTCACCTTATCGTGGACGACGAACGTCTAGAATTTATGCATCATGTTCTTGCCCCATAAGCTTGGTTGGCGGGCTGGCATAGGTACTGTAGCAAGTGGACTTGGTGGGAATCACATTCTCATTCGCACTCCCGTGGCGGTCCACAACGTAACCATAAATGTCAGTGCATTGAAATTTTAGTATAGTCAGACGGAAGAACTTATCTGGTGCTTCGAAAGGAAGGCTTGCTCGACTCTGGAAGCCAAGGAAAAGTATTGCAGAACCAGTTGCTGGGGGGAGGAGGACGTATTTATAGGCTCCTCAGCTCCAGTCGCGTATGCTCTGCTGAGAAGCAAACGTTGAAGGACACCATGCCTATCCTAAGTGAGGCAGACTCTAATACCGCAACTATCTGCAGCGACATCGTCAGAGCTGTTTGAGATGCCCGCCGAGCGAAAATGCTGGTCATGTTGAAAAACAGTGAAGTTGAGTCGGTTAAGAAACGTTGGCCAAGTGTTGAATATTCAGTCTTCTATATTGAGGAAATGAAAGTGATTCATTTTTTTAATTTTCCCAATAGTGCCCACATTTTCATCACTCCGCATCATGGATTGTGTGATTTTTGGGCGTCGCTTGAATGTTGGTTGTCTAAGTTGTGTGTAGTGTTCCGTCCGTCAAGACTCTGGATTGCGGAAGCGTCAGGCGACACGCGAGCGGGTGCTTGACCCGTCCCGTTGAAACGTGACCGTCGTTGTTGGCGGTGTCAACTTTTGAACTTATGACCGATGTTGAGATACGTTCTTCACTATGTTTTTTTAACCACACTTTTATATTTTCTACTGCTGGAGTTCATGAGTCTAACGAGTGTGAGTAGAGTTTTGTGATTCAATATATGTCTTTTGGCGCGTTCATCCCAGCGAGAATTAAAACCTGAGGTACATTCACCCACCACAATCACGAGGCTTACACCACTATCATCACCAGTGTTTGACAGAGCGCTAAAAGTCCTCGGATTCTAGGCAAAGTTTGACTACGTTGAATGACTTTTATGTTGATAGTATTGAATGCTTTATCTAATTCCCTCTAAGGTGTCTGTCTAATGCCACAATGGGGCCCAGAATTCTAAGGGAACTGATCTGATTCGTGTGAGTCCTGTATCTTGTGCTTGTAAGCTTGTATCTGCAAACAAGAGAATCGGCTCTGGGGATCGCAAAGCGTTTCCAGGGGCTTTCATCCCCTAGGAAAAGCTTATTAGCTCCTGGGGCTATTCTAGGTTCCAGGAAGACGAGATCTGCTCCTGAGACCATTACTATATGTTCCTGGCTGAATATCTAAATGGCTCTGGGAATACACTATCCAGATCCAGGAGCTGCAGAGCCCCTGGGAGCATACTTTGGGATCCTAGAGTGATCATAGTCCCTTTCGACTTCGTGAAATGCCCTCAACAAACACCTTCACTAATCCTGCGGACAAATCTGCGCCATCGAGTCACTCTGAAAAGACTAAGCTATAGCGCAAGGAGCGCCACTTACACCTCTAGGAATCAACAAGTCGTCAACAGGAGTGTGACCGGTTTATTGAAAATGATGATGTGGATGTTGGTACAGAGTCCCGGAAAATCAACTTTATAGTAGCCTGTAGGTCTGTCATCTTCACTATCATCAGTCAGCCTCCTGCTAACAGCACTATCAATGCTAGGAAAACATCTTGACCCTGGGGCTCTCTTGCTCCCAACAGCTGTTCAGAGGCCTGTAGGGGCAAAACAGCAGCTTCCAGGAGTCGCGTGGCCCTAGGATACCTGTTATGGCTGCTGGGGTCTAACACCATCACCTCGAGGAATCAAAGCCAAGACAAGGTGTTCGCTTGAACCAATGGAGCAAACCAAGCACGAAGAATGTTTCGAGGGCTTTCTACAAGGTGATACTGAGAGTACCAGAAAGCCCTGATCATCCTCTTTCGGAAGATGGGGGCATACCCGAACAGCCACAACCACCCACTATGAATCACATCAAGATCGGCATGCAGTTGATCTCGGCATTGGCATGTGTTTTCCCCACAAACATTGGACAGTAGAAATGAAGGGGGAGGCTTGCTATTTCCCCACCCCATTTTATGCATCCGAAAATACTGAAGGCATTTCCCCACATCAGTTAACCGATACCCATGGATAACGTAAATCCCAAGCGAGCGGCCCATCCAAAATACCCTACTAAATGCGACATATTCAACACTTATGTCTCAACAACCATGCTTTCGTTTTAGCTCCTTGTGTGGAAATATCCATCGATAAGACGCATCAGCACTGTTTATCAATTTCAAAAGGAGTAGAAGATGGTATCTTCATTATTTCGAAAATTACCGAAAACTACGTGGCCAAAAAGTAGAAATATATATACCGGGATAATAGAATTATAAAATTTCTCAAAACTTCCAAAAGAGACTAAATATTACTTAGAATGTAGGACGCTATCAGCAGAAGTCCATATAGACCATAGTTGTTGGTATATCAAGTTGTAATTCATCATATTTACTATGCTGTTTGGGCTCGGCCGCTCGCTTGGGAATTACGTTAGCGCATGCGGAATGAAGATCCGGGGAGACTCTTTATTGAACACTGTTTCTATAGATTGCCAAATGAGAGCTCAATAAGGCGTCATTCCGATGACATTCAACCCATGGAACTTACAAAGGCAATGTCCGTTTTGTCGGTGTGAATTCCACCATCCCCGACTTAGCGGAATACCAAGTATGACTACCCTCCTGGTAATAAAGGAGACCTATGATTCTTGGCTACATCTCCTTAACAGATGGGTTCCTTTTTTCGCCCGGGTCTTTGACGAAATAGGGTCCAATTGCCTTCTCTCTGGCGCCTTTCGAGCTTACCTCCTTTATATCCAGCCAGTAGATCCAGCTAAATCTCAAAAGTATAGTACCTTTCACTGGAAAAGTAAAATACAATGCGATTATAAAGTTGGGGGGTGTGGTGGGCCTGGAACTTAGTACTACCCAGAGAGGGAACCGGAACTGAGAGAGTTATAAATGGTGTATCATGGAGGAATGTGACTCTATCAAACGGATGGCGGCCAAAGGATTGCCCTGGTCCTCATACCCTTTTAGCGGCAGCCAGTAAAACACCCTTGGAACCTACTATTGTCTCTGTGGTTGCCTTGTTTCGCAGGTCTACGTGTAGTTCAACTTTTGAAGAATCGAGTTCGATTGGTCCTATACGTAAACTGTTCTTTCTTTCCTTTGCTTTTGAAATACCATAAAAGGCTAATGGAAGGTCTCACCGCCGCCAACATCGAAAATTTGTCCTGTGATGAAAGAAGCTTCTGGGCTGGCGACGAAGCAGAACGCATGGGCGACATCTGTAGGCAATCCACATCGCTTAACATTTTGCTTCTGGATCACACTGTCAAACAGCGGATGAGAACCGTCTGGTTGAACCCCGTAGTTCCAGACCACCTCAGTCTTGATCAGCCCGGGCATGACAGCGTTCACCGTCACTCCGGCTCCGGCCTCATTGGAAGTTGCCCGGACCAGTCCGACCACGGCTGCTTTGGATGTGACGTAGGCAACCTGGCCTTTCTCTGGCTCCTGGAAGGTCGTCGAGCCGGTGTGAATGATCCGACCATACCCAGCCTTTCTCATGTACGGGAGTATCGCGCGTGTGAGGAAAAAGGTGCCGTCGACATTGAGCGACATGGTTCGGCGGTACATTTCGGTCGAGGTTTCGGTGATGTCGGCTGAAGGGTAAATTCCAGCGATGTTGGCCAGAATGTCGATTTTGTGAAAGGTGGAAATCACCCAATCGATGGCATTTTGGACCGACGTCTCGTTTGTGATATCGCAAACATGGTAGGTAGCATTGCCGCCACGTCCCTCGATCAAAGCAACTTCCTGTTGCAGCTTTTCCTCTTGGATATCAATAAGCACCAGCTGTGCGCCCTGGGCACTGAAGAGCTCAGCGGTGACAGCACCAATGCCCTGCGCGCCTCCTGTAACCAGTACGACCTGACCAGCGAACTTGTCTGGGTAAACCTTGATGGGGGGCACATTAGCACCAGCTTCAACATCAAGACTCATTTTGGGAGGTTTGAGATGGGACTGTGGGCATAAAGATGAAGGACAAGATCAAGAGAGCTGCCCAGGGAATATTATCTGTGCGACAGTGAGCCCGGGTCCTACGGTCCACGCCACTTGTATACAAGATATCATGCGGGGCCTGGTGAAAGCGTGGGGTGCATATGCGGGACCGGTGCATCGGAATGCTCTAAATGCAGCGGGGCACGAACTATAGATCGGAGCATTCCCCCGCCGCAATGAGGAAATACAGTTCCGCAAAGTCTCGCCACATTCTGAATATTTACTGGCTTTCAAGTTCGATTGGAATTATTTAGATTTTATTTATTCACATCAGTTTCTTCCACTTTCACGCAAGCTATCATCAACGTATCATCAACATGGCGGGGCGTCTCGAGAACAAAGTATGCCTGATCACCGGTACCGGCGGCAGCATGGGTCGCGCAGCAGCCTTGAAGTTTGCCAAAGAAGGTGCCGTCGTTGTTGGCTGTGACTTCAACGAGGCCAATGACAAAGACACGGTCGAAGCTGTGAAGAAGGCGGGCGGCCAAATGGTCTCGTACTCGCCTCTAGACTTGACGTCTCACGAAAACTGCGAGAAGCTCATCACATCCACTATTGAAAAGTATGGCCGCATCGACTGCTTGTACAACAACGCAAGCATGGCCTACTTCGGGTGGATGGACGACATCACCGACGAAGCGTGGCACAAAACCATCCGGATGGAGTTAGACATCGTCTACCTGCTCACCAGGGTTGCGTGGCCCCACTTGAAGGCATCAGGCGCGTCCATCATTAACGTCGGCTCCGTCAACGGCTGGGTTGGTCTTGCCGTACTACCTGCCATCGCACATACCGCCGCCAAGGGCGGTGTTATTGCCATGACCCGCCAGCTTGCCATGGAAGGCCGCACACACGGCATTAGGGCTAACACCGTCTCTCCGGGTGTCATTGAGTCCCTACAGACGAAGCCACTATTGGAAGATCCGGCGTGGAAGAAGACAATGTTGGATAAGATCATGCTCGGCCGTCTGGGACGTGCTGATGAGGTTGCCAATGTCGCTTCTTTCCTTGCCTCCGATGAGTCAAGTTATATAACGGGTTCTGATATTCTTGTTGATGGCGGTTTGACGGCCTGGTAATTCAAGACAGTCTTTTATAAGAGAATACATCCCACAACAACCAGAGCCTTCGAATGTTTTCACGAGCTGTTCATGATACAAAACATTGCCGTTGTTTAGTCTTCCTACCGCTCTCATTTCCTCCAAAATGAATGGTCTAACGTGATTTATCGCAAATTTCAACCACCAAACATTTTACAATGTCATTTCCACGTAGTGTTTCCAACGTTGTACCCTATTTCGATGAGATTAAGCTGTTTTCACAAATGTCAAAGAATAAGCTCTTTTCAAAGACCCGGTGCGCATTAATTTTTAAAGATACATTTGAGATACTCTTTATGTTCCAAGGATAGAGCGAAGAGATTCACGAGCCAGAAGGTATCCCGGTAACATGAGAACCAACTATGCTGTCGTAATATTCAGACTGACATATATGCAAAAGAAAAATCACTTATGCGACGAAATCCCATTCAAGAATGATAATCCTCTGGGTCAGCTTCTCCGTGGATGATCAAGCTCATCAACGATGCTAGCTTGCGCGAGATTGTCCAGCTACCCTGGCGTCTGAGCAAATCAACGAGATCGTAGAGCGTGCTGGATTCAACCTTCCTAGGTCGAGCTAGTTTGAAGCCATGTGCCTCAAACAATAAAGTGTTGCAATCGATACCAAGAATCTTGAACTCCGAAAATTCGTCGTCACTCCCTTGTGCCTCGACACGTCCCTCGTGACCTAATTCCGTATACCAGTACCAAACCAAAGCAGTATTAAATAACACGCGCGGAAGGTAAATTGCCGTCGTCGCACTCACGGAGACGCGACCTGATTTCCGTAATATTAAAGCGCCATGCAATGCACATCTACGGCCGTTTTGAGAAGCTGCCCAAGATTTTGCGTAGTGGAGATGCTGCTGTGACTCCTCATAGCCATCTCTTCCCGTGCAGATCTCCAGCAGATTCAGGTCTGCATAAAGAGATATGAAAAGAAAATGCCAAAGAATCTCAAGGCAAAGGAGGCTGTTGGTACCATTCACAGTGGGTTTGAGTCGGTCCTCATACAACTGTAACAAGGTCGCTTCCAGTTGGGAGCATGCAGACGGCCAGGAGCCAAGCTCTCTTGCCTCGGTGATAGATGCCGCAATGACTTCCAATTCACAGTAAATGCTGAATGAATCCTGCATCATTCGGTTTGGATTCTTAAGTATGAATGTGATGGGGTTGAATAGCTCAGTCGTAGAGAGGTTTGGTGTATTATTTGCGTTTTGAGAGGCTTTCAATAACGTCTTGCCCCATTCTTGAGCCGAGGGGGCCTCCCATAATTCTTTTGAACACATGATGGGTAGCTTAGATGCGGAATGCCTCATTAAAGGTTCGGTTTTTAGCAGTGCTGAATATTCACTGTCATGAGCGTAGAGTGCTACGGCAAGCCTTTGTATTCGATGACGAGGTTAGTTACTCAATAACATCAAGTTCTGTTGCTAGCGGATGTATTTCAGTTACCTTTTCTGCTCTTCAACTTGGGCCCAGGACTTCCATGCAAACTCCAAATCATGATCGAGCATATCGTAGATCTTGTCTTCAGCGCGACCTTGCTGTTGGAAGATACCATGTTTCTTGGCCCACTTCGGGTTGATTGAATCAGTGACTGTGTCCATAAAAGTGGTTTGAAACTAATGAAAACATAGGGGTGTCATACTGCGATCACGGTGCCATGGAAAGACTGCACTGTTAATAAGTCCCTTGGTCTCTAGTTTCGTCAGATAACGGGGAGGATATTGATAGGGAATTCGATGGCCAGAGCCTTCATGTACCACGTACTCCAGATAATAGTGCAAAGGTATGTCCGATCACCGCCGATTGAATCAGTATGAGTGCTTCTGGCTTCCCGCGTGAGATGTGGTTATCCCACTTGGCAGAATTCAGTAATTGGAAGGAATTTTAAATGATTGAGTAGGGCACACGCACTGAAGCGAGAGCAGCCTGGCTGACTCGATCGAAGATGTGCCGGCCATGAATTGCAGCCCGATCAGACCCAAGCAACAAGCTTCCAAGAGAACATATGGACAACAGTAGTAATGAACTTTTCCTTGGTAGTCGGAAAGTTGGTACGTGGATGATCGGGAAAATTGGGTTGAAGCGCGTGAAGTACATCCGTATGCAAAGGTTCTTTGTAGGTGAGAAGACTACTCTGGTAAAACGAGCTGAAAGGACCTACCAGGAATTCAGTGGATGGAAGAGGATCATTGGGGATTCGTGGCTGCAGTCGTAGGTATAGCTCCTCCCTGAACCTGTCATCAACATGCGGTTGTCCGACTTCAGTGTCGGGAGTTAAGATGCCACTGGTAGATAGTCCGAAAGATGTGAACCAATGTCTTTGAATCGTATCTTCTTTGTGCGAGTAGGCCGGCTCAGTCAAGCGATCATTGTAAACCATCCTTTCAGTATGTGGCTGGACACAGCTTTCAGGTGTCGGGTCATTAAGAAAGGATATCATAGATGATTCAAGTGCGTTCATGTCTAGATCTGCGTTTGTGAGTAACGAGCAGATCTGGGAATCGAGACCAGTATTCCAAGCATCTTGGTCATTGTGCAACTGATTCATTGAAGGTTCATCAGAAAACGATGTACCACCAGTGCTGAGCGCGTTACTTTCAGGCATTGAAAGGTGCACTAGTTGCGCTGCTGCACCCTGGCTGGAGCTATGTGTACTAGAAATTGTGGGCGGGGCGTTCTGGGTGATATTTTGTGAGGGTGAAGAGTTGGGTAAGAAAGGGGGGGCAGAGGCAGGTGGTTCGGTGAAAGTCTGAAGATCGTCATGTATCGGCTGGCTAACTCCCGGAGTAACACCGATGGGGTCGGTCATGATTGAGTCCCGCCGGCCTGGATCCGGCTGAACATTTGTCTCAGGCCCATGCGTTCGGGAATGGCGAAGCAGGGTATCCCTACGATAGTTAGAATCTCCTCAATACGGTGGAGGTGATCATCAAGCAGACTTGCGACTGAAAAGCTTCCCGCAACGCGCGCAAGTAAACGGCTTCTCGCGCGTGTGAGACCGTGTATGTCTGGCAAGATGTTCTTTTTTGGAGAACGACAGAGAACACCATGAGCAGATGTGTTCACGTTCTGAGGCCTTTGGAGTGGGCATTTTCGCATGTATAGGTAGTGCTCAACTTATATAGCAGAGGTCTCTCTCCCTTTCTTGCTTCACATGAGGGATGTGGCGGGGGAAATGCACTTGAGCCGCTCACTCAGCTACGTCGAATCAGATCTCCTAGGATACCTTTCACCGCCTTATTCTGTCAGTTAGTCATCCACAAATCCCCAGGCCTCCACAAAATCACCTGAACCACTTATCTTTACCCTTGTCAGTCTCCTTCCTCTCTCTGTTGTTGACCTGGTGAGCCATGAGTGGGCAAAAATAGTCACGCTACAGAACTCATCAGCTAAAAGAAGCCTAGATATGTGTGCAATATCTTCATCGTTCTATCCTACATTGCTACTTTACTATGAGTTACTTGGATCTGAGCTTGAAGCTTGGACGTACGTGAATGAATACAGCGGCCTTTTGTTGTTCAATTGAGTCCCAACGAAACCTTGCCTGGTAGTACTTCTGTACTGGATTTCCTTTGCCACTTCTTGGTGTTCCCCATCCGTCAGAGTACTCATGTCGCCGCTCTTTGCTCACCAAGTCAATCCTAGCACGCCGCTGAGCCTAGGTCAAAGTAGCCGACTAAGCTAGGGGATCGCCTTTGTCAGACTGTGATTGACAGCGATATCTTCCGAACTAGCTCCAAAAGGGATGATATGATTGGTTCGGTGGAGCTTCATTTCGGCAGGCTAACCCAGGCGAGTCCAGTGACGTTTCGGAACTTTGGTTGTTTGCATGATTTGCATGTGGAGTCGAACTCTATCTTCCCCGCAATCCCATTTCCCGCATTTCCCCGCAAGATATTTACTATGCACTTTATTCTCACTATGGATGAGCTCGCTTCCGAGGTGATTTTGACCAATGAGGAATATGGAGAAGTGGTCATCGACTCGCACCCTTATGTATAAAGCTACGCCTCGCCAACTCAAGTGTTTTCACTTCATCTGCTCCGCGAATATTTCCAGAATTTGCAACCGAAATCACACCCCATGATAGCCGACCAAATGGAGACCGGAAATCACATCGTCGAACCAAAGACTCAGCATCATGAGCATGAAAGTATGCCTGGGTTGATGCAGATTCCGACCTCGGTGACCTTGTCCGCTGAGCAATTCGAGAGGCTCTACTTGAGCCCCATGATGCACCGCCAGTCTTCTCTCGCAAAGAATCTGGGTAACCCTACTCCCCTGTAAGTATTGACAATAGGCTTGTCTCCGGAATCCAAAAATTGACATGGTTTGATGTAATGATAGCGGACTCGGAGCTTTCGTGCTGACAGCCTCGCCACTTTCTTGTTGCTTGATGGCATGGCGAGGCGCGGGGGGAGGCGGTGCTGCACTCTCGTGAGATGATTCCAAACCTGAGTTCTGAGGATTTCTTTACTGACTAGGGATAGAGGAGTGTTCATGCTCTTGGGTGGAGTGCTGCTAGTAATCTCTAGTGTGCTCGAATTCATCATCGGAAACACATTCTCGTCAGTTGTGTTCGGACACTTTGGTAATCTTGATCCCTGCGTGTACCAAGTTTAGGTCTACTAGTATACTAACACAGTTCAGGGGGTTTCTGTTTAGCGTCAGGGGCTACCTTAATTCCAGGCTTCTACGCCGCAGGTAAGTTTCAAGCTTTGCTGTTATAATTCCAGTGCTCATTATCTGTAGCTCCATATTCTTCTACCACGACCAATACATTGGCAGGGCTTCATAGTCCCGGATTCGTGAATAGTTTTGGTATGTACTTTTCTATTACTGTTCCTCTTACATTTGAAACCTAATTCTGATGGACAGCGTTCTTCTACATCTTTATGGGATCATTGATGCTTGTTTACGCCGTTTGCGCAACGAGGGCAAACATTGTATATTTTGCCATGTTCGCAACTATGGTCTTGGTTTTCTCGCTTTTTTCTGCTTCATACTGGAAAGCGGGCCAGGGGGACATTGTTCTCGCTAATCGTTTGACAGTGGTGAGTTTTGTCACTTTCTTGCCTCTAGTGTCTTATCATTTTTAACATGATCGGCTTAGGGTGGTGGTGCAGGTCTATTTGTTGTTAGTATGCTCGGATTTTACTTGTTGACAGCACAACTTCTTGATTGTGTTGGGTTTCCGCTCTGTCTACCTGTCGGAGATCTCAGCGGGGTTTGGAATAACCGAAGTAAATTGTAAGTATTTTACAAGCTGAGCTCATTTTTTCCATTCATTCTAATCATCGAAAGGGGTTTATCGGGAGACCTGGAGTCATCTATTGAATAGCAGCGCCAAACGATTTCAAAAGCTCTGAGATCCGTCTTTGGACCTTCTGCTCTGAATGACTTACAAGCCCCAATCGGAAGGCAGATTCAATACGCGAGTCGGAATTTACTGTAGCAACAAAGATCTGCCGTCATTTTGTCACGAAATGACTGAAATCAGCTGTAGGGCGACTGTATGCTTGAAATGGATGATATTGTGTTGGATTATCTAGATGTGTCTCCTGAATTATGACTCTCCTTTAAGAGGGTGTACTTATATCACTCGTTCCAAAGGCACACACTTATAGTTTATTTCAAACGGAAGAAACAAGCTAGATCCTTGAATAAGTGTCTTCATTGATTCCTGCTTACTCCCTGCAGTAGATAGATCAGAGAACAGTGGGACTGTCCTACTTCTCGACCTACTATGAAGCGTTCCTTATACCACTACCATACTTGGCTATGTTGCGGTCAGCTCCCTCCCTGGCTTGTGGACGCGGTCTGGCGCACGATACATCAGGAGCTCAAAATAACGTCCGAGTGAAGTATGATATGGTCTATGGTAATCTATGTATGTATCCCCCATTGTTCAGATATAAACGAGAGTCTAGATAAATGGAAGGATCAGAGCAGAGTCATAAATCCCACCAGTGTGTACAACATGTGTTCCCACATTCTGATTGTTCTCCGAAGCGGGTGGGATTTTATCGGTCTCTGGATAACACATGTCGTGGCCTGCAATACGCAGCATGAGTCCCTCGCCGGGAGCGAAGGCCATTCCCATTGGCCAGAATGTAATGTCCAGCTTGACGATTGATCCTGGGGTAATGGGCTCGCGCCGATCATGTTTGTAGAATACTTCTTGCTCGGTTGAAAGCTCTTCCACCTTGCTGACCGCATGTGAGGCTCGCAGGAATCCCTGTGGCCCTAACGCCTTGGCTGTGTTGACATTTGGAACCTGTTCTATACTCACAGGGCATGGATAGTTGAGATGCTCCAGGGGCTTGCCATCTTTGGAAATCTTTCGGATCTGCACAGCGACATCCAAGTCATCGTGTTCCTTGCAGGACATCCAAATAGATGCCTTGGCATAGCCCGCAATCTCCGTGTATTCATCGAAGTAAAGAGTAAAGTCCTGAGTATCGCCATTAGTTACATGAAATTGCCTGATTAGATGGGGACATACCGAGGTAGCTTCCATACTCCCACCCGAGTGAGAAATGGACGATGCAGTAGCTGGAACACTGCGTTGGAGAGTATTCGTTGTTGAATCCAGGTAAAGGGTCTTCAGGACTTGTCGATCCAAGGGCCAGTTTTGCTCAGCTCGTTCGCGAACACTTTGTACTTGACCACCACCGGTTTCAAATCCAAGCAACGATAGACGAACCGGTGGAGTATTCTGCTCCCAGCCATTTTCAATGTTCTTCAGGAATCGATCGAAGTAACTCTGCAAATCATCGACGATCTCCGGTCGGTACAAGTCGTACCACTCCTGGTATGGGTGGACACGCAACCACTTTTTCAAGGATTTCGCAGTTCGGAAGGTATGGAATGAGCCACGACTGTGGAGTTGGGATGAATAAGACCCGACAATATAGATGGGAACATTGATTTTTTCCGTGTGGATGTATTTACTTTCCCAGTAGTCGTCAAACAGTGGCCGCTTGTTGATCATGGCGGGCATGTTTTCAGCGGCATTTGGCCCCGCAAATCCCGCGAGGAGGAACTTGTGCAGGCCTGGATTGTGCTTGCGACCTCCGCGGACCAGTGAGTCTCGGTAAATATCGTTCCGACCTTCCCACGGTGCCAGGGCCTTGAGTGCAGGATGTTCGAGGCGGGAAGCAAAGTTGATTTGCGCAATTGAAAGCCACGAGTTTCCAGCCATTCCAACAGAGCCGTTGCACCACGGCTGTTTAGAAATCCAGCTGATCGTGTCGTAGATGTCCTCGGCCTCTTGCTGACCCCAGAACACAATGTTTCCTTCAGATCGACCCGCTCCCCGTGCATCCACGTTGATGATGGCGTATCCACGGTGTGTCCAGTCAGCCGGATCTGGACCTTCGAACTTTTCGTAACCGGAAGTTTGTTCCAATCCTAGACCAACACGGAATGGTGCCATGCGGGCGTAGTCCTGAACACCGGTTCCGGTTTTGCCGTAAGGACTCCAAGGCAGAATGGCGGGGACTCGAGCGCCGGATTCCAAACCAGCCGGACGAAATATATCGGTGTAGATCTTGATTCCATCTCGCATAGTGATTGCAACATCTCGTTCAAAAATTGTCTCGGCTGGAAAGGCTCGACGGTCTGGTGAGCGTGTGTGACCTTTCTTCAGAATGGTCACGCCAGGCTGGAAGCCATCGTAAGTGTATTGTGGGTGTTCCTGCGGCTCGGGCAGGGGATACCATTCCAGGTCTTGGAATTGAGATTTCAGATTTTCTGTCGTCGTCATGATTTGTGGTAGAGAAAAGAAAGAAAGAGCAACACGAGATGTCTTGAAATAGGAGATGTTCCAAGGTGACAGCTGATCAACAATTTATAGCCGACGTAACGTGACCGATGCTGGCTATCTCATCGTATTCTCGCCGCATTTCGGAAATTACCAAGCACAACGGAAATACGAGATCGTAACCGAATGCCGGGTGGCTCTTTGGAGGGGAAGAGGGGTTAGTTTGTCAAGCCATGAATGCGGGACATGGTGGGGTGTAACGGGGTTAACCCAGAAGGCGGACTTGACGTCTTTCGCGGGGCAACCCCAGAGCCGCCAAGTCCGGAGTCCCGAGCCCGCGACCTTCCCCCCGTTTCCGTTGGCTTTCGCGGGGTACCCCCGCAAGGTCATTGCCCCCGTACTATAAGCCAATGGCCAGTATAAAATAACAACCCCAAACCAAGACATACTGCCTTATTCGTTTTTATTATCGCTCATTCTATTCTACATTTCCAACATGACTGTCAGCACACATAGTCTCCCTGTGGCAGAGACCGAAATCCCTGCAAACTGGGTGTCGATCTTAGAACAACCGTTGTTCAAAGCAAGAAAGCTTCGCCTTGTTTGCATTGGAGCTGGGTTTTCGGGGTTGATCCTTGCCCACAAGATCAAACATGAGTGGAAGATGGACGATGTGATCGACCTTCAAATCTACGAAAAGAACCCTGATCTTGGTGGGACTTGGTACGAGAATCGATACCCAGGAGCTGCATGGTAAGCTTCAAACAGTTCTGATTATCTAGCTATGCCTCTTGAAATTTACTAATCTGCATGATGATAGCGATGTTCCAGCCCGTGAGTAAAATGGTGGCACACCTTTCAAGGTTAGTATTGCTGCTGACACACGGCACTTAGATGTTTATGTTTTCCCCTTCCAACCCAATCCAAACTGGTCTTCTTTCTATGTCGGAAGTGAAGAGATCTGGAACTACATGAAAGATACCGCCGTGAAATGGGGCTTGGAGAAATTTGTATCGTTCAATTCACGAGTCAATGAGACCGTATGGGATGACGACAAAGGCAAATGGCATGTCAATGTATCCAAGGCCGATGAGACTATTCAGGATGAGTGTGATGTCCTGATCAATGCGTCTGGCTTTTTGAAGTGAGTTTTCTTGCGAATGACCCTTTGAGGGATGTGCTGACCGGTGGGATCTACTTAGTAAATGGTCTTGGCCCAGCATTGAAGGCATGAATTACTTCAAAGGAAAGCTGATGCATACCGCCAAATGGTGAGTCATTCATTCCGTGTTCTGCTAGACGAAGGAAAGAAGTCTGATCGAGAATATAGGGACCAAACTTATGATTGGTCCAACAAAAAGGTCGCCGTCATTGGTAATGGCTCTTCCGCAATTCAGCTGTTGCCAGAGATTCAAAAGACCGCCGCTCAGGTCGTCAATTATATTCGCAACCCAACTTGGATCGCGACGAACTACCTTGAAGAGTTTGCCGAAGATGGCAAGTTTGTCTACACCGAAGAGAAAAAGAAGCAACTTCAAGAAGATCCCAAGGCACTGTTTGAAATGCGCAAGCAGCTTGAGCATGGGTGAGTTATCGGTTTCCTTCATTTGAGCTTACGTGTGGACTAACTCTGACGGAATACTAGATTCAATCAATTCTTCCATTCAATGATCAACGGAACACCAGAACAAAAAGCCATGGATCAGCTTTATCGAAAGAAGATGGAAGACGCACTCGGTGGAGATCCCGAGTTGATCAAGCGCCTTGTTCCTACCTTCAATGTGGGTTGCCGTCGTCTGACCCCCGGCGATGGCTATCTCAATGCACTGCATGAGGATAATGTTCGAACAAACTTGACACCGATCTCACGAATCACTGAGAGGGGAATCTTGACAACCGAAGGCGAAGAGGAATATGATCTCATTGTCTGCGCAACCGGTTTCGATGTCAGCTTCCGCCCATCATGGAACCTCGTGGGACGTAACGGTGTGCGATTGGAAAAAGAGTGGAAAGATGAGCCTGAGGCTTACTTTGGCATGTGTGCTGTTGACAACCCTAACTATTTCATTTACGCTGGCCCAAATTCACCAGTCGCACATGGCGTTTTAATGGGTTCCATGGATGCGATGACAGAGTACATTCTGAAATGGTGCAAGAAGATTGCAGCAGAAGACATCAAGTGAGTTCCTTCGTTGATCATTCTCGACGAACCTGACTAATGGCGGAACGGTAGATCCATCTCAGTCAAAGCAAAGGTCGTCAATGACTTGAGTGTTTGGTCTCAAGAGCTACTAAGGCGAACTGTGTGGGCAGGTGAATGCAGAAGCTGGTATAAGAACAATAGCACCAAGGGGAAGATTACTGCTCTGCATGCAGGCAGTGTTATTCATTACAGAGGTAAGTTATTTATTTTTGGCTAAAGAAGCGCTGGACGATGCTGATTATTATGGACAGAAATGCTTCATGATATCCGAGGAGAGGACTTTGATATTGATTATCGTTCTCGCAATGAGTTCCGCTTCCTTGGAAACGGATTGACCCAGAGGGAAACTACCGGAGGGGACCTTTCATACTATCTCAAGCCATAGACTATTCGATAGTCTAAGTTTCATTTTCCAATATGTTTCGCAATTTCATGTACATCATTGATCTACTTCGTTTTAACTAGAAATATTAGCGACAGCCTTTTAAAAAACCTAACCGAAAAGCACATCCTCGACTATATGCCCCCCACCTTGGCACGATTGTATTTTTAGTCTTCTCATATTTCACTTTCTCTCCTTCTGTCTCTTCAAGAACTGACTTCTTTTCAGAGAGCGTATCTGAAATACACTAAAAACGTGTTAATCAAATGCAACGTTGATGCCCTAACTATGGACTAAAGATACAGTATGATACTCACAATTAGTTTCACTGCCAGTGAAACAATTTTTTTTAATTGGTAATAAAATGAAATATATGGTTGTTTTCCCATAAAAACGTTGATGACATGGGTATGGGGTGTTTATTATATGCCTCCTAGCACACATTACTCAAATCAAGATGGCACCTATATGCTGTAGGATAGATTCACCATTTATCTGAGCAAGGGCATAATATTAACCCAAATGAGTCAAACTATAGCAAACAAGGGCACACGGAGGCAAACGGCCCAGCCTTTCTTACAACATGTCTGCCGACAACCTAATATCTGAGCCATCCCAGATGACTCCTACACACATGATAAAATGCCAGTGGCCATGTCAGATACTGTACCGAACCTGTCATAATTCATCTCTCCAAACAAGCTACATACATACCGTTGCAAAAGTCCCCCTACACTATAACTTTCGCCAGCTTAAAGGCCAGTTTTTCGACCCCTCCTATCTCCACAACTTTGTATGTAAAGATATACGTTTTAAATTTTTTATCCAATGATTAGCCAATTATCCCAAAGTTCTTTTTTTATGAAGTTTTTTCTACAAGTTTTATATCAAATGACACAGCGTCAAAGTGGACATCTCGAAAATTTTACGTTTTCTAACGAAATCCCCATGTGCCCCTTGATACAGAAAATTTGGAAAGGTTTAAAAAAATCAAGAATTCTGGGATAGTTGGCCAAACACTAGGCAAACAATTTTGAAAATCCATCTTTATAAATGAAATTGTTGAGATAATTGGGGCTGAAAACCGGCCTTTAAGCTGGCAAAAGTGGTAGTGTAGGGAGACTTTTGCAAGGTTAGCACGCCTGATAAGGATCGACTGACAAGAGCTACAGGTAGTCTACAAGTTCTTCGTGGGAAGCATCGCTAATGTCAATGCGAGTGCTACTTTAAACTACCATCATATGCTAGGTTTTATGTGGCATCTCTGGATATCAGAGTGTTTCATCGTCATACTCAGGAGGTCACTTGTGGAAGATCTTGCTACTAGCGAAGTATCCACGGGAAACTTGCAACCTGAGAAACATGTAAGTACGTGTACAGGGACACACTTATTCTATCTCTTTTCCATAGATAACGTTGCTCAAGTTCCAGAAACTAAAATGAGGTTCAGATATATTGTATTTCAAGTAGTATATGGTATCTATTCAATCTAATTGTGTACACGAAGTTTCCGAATGGATGGAGATACCTGGGCACCCAAGAACCTAGACGCAAGGTCGAATGCACCCCTTCAAGTATTCTTCCACCTTCGCCGTGCCGTCAAGTCCTGCAATAGTGCCAACGTACCCATCAGGCCTAATCAAAACCAGTGCACCCTTAGTGGGGTCCACACCATAGATCTTATAGGCATCCTCTGGGGTTGATCCGTTGTAGAAACGCATCTCTGCCTGTCCCTTCACACAAGCTGGTATGTCTTTCCACTGGAACTCTTGATCGAGTTGTGGGTGGATGATTATTTGCTCAATAAGGGTAGGCGGGAATCGAGTAACTAATAGAGATATTTCGTCAAGGCTCTGCGCAGAGGCACCTTTTCTGTTGAGAAGGTCTGTCGATGTCATGGACAGCAGGCGGAAGCGACCCGTGGAAGGAATATCTATATCTTTAGTCAGCTGTTGAATCTCTCTAATAGGTTCGGGATTTGTTCACCATCGTGGATGCTCCTTTCATTTCCATCGGCATGACGGAGCACTCGGACATTCAAGAGTCTTCTCCCCGGCCTGAGAGTTCCAGAGACATAGTCCGTTCCACTCACTGGACTCGTAGAGCCGTTCTCGTCATCTCTGACCACAATAAGGTTTTCGAGATACTCAATACCACACCCGCTGGTGAACGCATTGCCCTGTGTGAAGGCCCCTTGAAACTCCTCTTGGGTGAGATTCTCTGTTGCACCCACTTTGCCCGAAAACATGGTTGAAAAGTTGCGGTCAAAATCAATCAGCTGCTGGGCGATCTCATGTCTTTCTGCCTGGTATGTATCAAGCAAAGGGCTTGGATTTCCTTCTGTTGAGGGTGTGAGCCCATTGATGTGGTAGGCCAACTTCCATGACAAATTATAAGAATCCATCATGGAAACGTTCATACCCTGCCCGGCCTGATGAGTTTGAACTAATTAGAATGTGTATTCAAAGTATGCATGATGGAACTCACTTTCGGGCTGTGGGTATGACAGGCTGAAGACGTGGAAATGGTGGTCAGCTTTGATCTACCAGCACACTAGTGTAGTACTCACCATCACCGGCGATGAACACCCGTGCAACTCCTTTCGTATCTTTGACAATGAACTCCGGTGATATGCGCTGTCCAATTTGATAAGCAGCCCACCAGTCGATAACTCCATCTTTAGCCCGAATAGAATACGGCTTCAGACCATCCGCAGCCTGCTTCATTATTCCCTCTAGGGTGATCTTTCCCCTTCGCTGCCGGGCACTCTCAGAGTCGACACCATCTTGGTCGCTCCCTGGCTCTGCAGTATGTGGCAAATGCACGTACAGCCGTGTGAGGTACTCGCCGGAAGCAATTCGCTCTCGTGGGATGATCATAATCGACCCTGCGGGAGAGTGGATGGCGCATCTGCGTCTGATGTCTGGGAAGTCTGTATCTGCGACTAGATCCACGACACCCCAAATGTGATCCAAAGACTCGCCTTCGAGCTGTAGACCCATGCACCGCCGTACCACCGAGTGTGCACCATCAGCGCCGACTAGGTGCTTTGTGCGCACCACCTTGTCAACTCCATCCGTATCCAAAGCTATCCGAACGGGGAACTCGGGGTCTGATTCATCAATTTGTACATCGAGAAGCTTCGTATTGCGAAGCACACCTCTTTCAGAGTACCTCGACAAATCAGTTTCCAAAATACGCTCGATACGCCCTTGATGAATGGTAGCCTCGTAAGGGAAACGCGACGGAGCCAGGACTTCTGGAACAACAGCAGTGCGCTCAATGATCTTCTTCTCGTCGGTGGAAGGGTTCCAGAACGCGAATTGCCACATATGGCATGCTTCGTTCTCGATCTCGTCGGAGATCCCAAGCGTCTTGAAAACCTCCAATGTGCGCGGCTGTACACCATCCGCTTGACCAGACTTCAGGGTGCTGGGCTTTGAATCAATGCATAACAGGGATTCATCGCTTATTCCATAGCGGGAAAGAAGAAGTGTTTGGAATAGTCCGGCCGGTCCTGCCTATAATATGTGTGAGCTTCTGGAGGCAACAAGACGGAGAATTACGATTAGCGCGACATACCCCGACAACGACAACTTCATATTTTTCGCGAACTCCATTTTCCGGCTGAAATGAAGGTGTCAACCGAGGGAGTGGTGGTGCGAAAGATGGAAGGACGCGCAGGTCTCGTGAGGAAGAAGCATAGTCAGCGAAAACGGGCATACTGGCTGATAAAAGATGAAAAATATGCCAATCGGTGATCGTTTTGAACTTAATGAGACCCGAAGGTACTTATAATATTATCGGCTTTGCCTTAGGGCTTTGCATCCCCCGCCACCATTGTTGTGCGGGGGGAAGGTGTGGAGGCACAACCACGCGGGGAAAAGGATATAATCCCAGGTGATTTTATTGGATTTTGCTTATTTGCTGTACGCAAGGGCATTGGCGAGTAAGAGATTTGCCGCGTTATGATGGCTTGGTGTCCCACACAGGGGAGCACCCCGCCGGAGACGACGGACAGACTCTGTGGACAAAAACTCCCGCCAAAGCTGATGAAATACCCCACCCCCCACCGCTCTATATCAAATCAACCAGTTGATACATAGTATTCAGAGCCTCCATCTTCTCATCGGTTTGGGTTGATGGTAGAGGACCATTTGCAATTTACGAGGAGCAAGCCCCATGAAAATATTCGTTTTTCTTTCCTAGCCGAGGAATAAACTGTGCCAAATGATGATTTAACAGCCACACAGGGATACTTTGGCAACGCTATGTATAGCCTATTGCACCCCATGACTGTCAATCCTATGTACTTCCGAGGTCCTGGGTTCCAGGGTGAAAGGTTTGCTGCATCTTAAGCCCTGGAGTCGAACCTAAATCAATTCCACTAAAACCAATATACACCGTCTTCTCCCATCTTGCCCTCGATTCTCAAGCGATCCAAACATTCCACTACTTTGTTCCCAATCTGCTCGCCGTATTCAATTCCAACCTTCGGCCTAGGCTGCCTTGGGTCAATTTCTTTGCTTATGTCGTGACGTAGCCACGGCACATTGCCGTATCCTTTGCAAGCATCGCGAAGGCTTTGCAGCTCTGCATCATTGTATCCCCCACCAGCTATAATCGCTTGAACCTTTTTCCCGTATTCTTGGGTTCCAAGATTAGCCTGCTCCTTGGAGGGAGGTGCTTGTCCCTGCAGAAGAGGGGGAATGTCGCTTATCCCAGCGGCCACAGAGGTTATGACATGGAGCGCTTTGACAGTGTTAGTGCCTTTAGAGCTCAGATGCCGCATTCTGAATGTAGCCACTAACCCTCATATGTTGGCCTGATAGCTTCTTTGACGCCGATTGCCACATGTACAGACTTGCCGCAGATGATGACCTGAATTGGATTCATCGCTTTGTCTTTCGGAGAAGTTGTAATTGTATCAATGTTATGAATGTAGTTTGTATAAGGAAATGAGCAGGGAACAGGGAGAAACAAGGGTGGCAATCACTACGTCAAAGGACCGATCCCTGATTAGTTGGTTCTCCACATGCGGTCGTAAATCGCCCCATCTCTCGGCGTTATATTTGAATGCCGAGGCCGAATCAGTATCCACCTTAGCTTTATCAAGGGATCGAGATATACTGTACAGTACTGATATAGGTCCGGTAATTTTCGCAGCTCACCTAAAGGATGACGAAGGTTATTTACTTGGTTTGGAGATCGAATGTATCATGTATTGATGGGTTTCGATGGCTAACGAATGAAACTCGGAACTCTGAACAATTTCCATAGGAAGAAAAGATCTTATACATCCTGTCAATCTTCGTCACATAACCAACCTCCGATCTATCATCTTAACATTCCCAGGTCGCAAACGTCGTTCACGCTTAAAGGTTATGATCGAACCATGCAAGAGCTTGCACATACGCCTGTTCTTTGGCATACTTGTTCTGGGGCTTGCTCAAGTCAGCACGGATCGCAAAGCCGTGTTCGACGCCACTGAAAAGATTCAATTGGTAGTGCTGGCCAGTTGTGCTGAGAATATCTTCAGACTTGCGACGAAGTTCACGGGTAAAGATGCCGTCGGTCTCTGTGAGACAATTTTGTGAGCTGGGTTGCATGGATTGACAAAGCGTAGTACAACCGCCACTTACCTGCAGCAGAGATGGAGAAAGGCTTCTTGATGGCACCAAGCTCCTCGTCAGATACGAAGGATGGATGGGCGCTATAGCCAACATCGATCTTGCCTTCCTTAAGGAAGCGAGTCACATACTAGGCGCCGAGAAAGGTTCGATGATAAGAATGTTTTCCTACAAGTTGGTAGTGTTGGGAGTTTGCTTACCTTGCCACCGAAGCAGTACCCAGCAGCTGCGATCTTCTTCACACCTAGTTCTTCTCTCATATGCTTCACTACCGATTCCACAATGGAGTCCACCACATCGGTGCCATGTCTCGAGAGCCAGCCAGGAATGTCGATCTTGCCAGCTTCAAAGTCTCCAATATCCATTTGGTCGCCGGAGAAGACGTCGGGCAGCAATGTGAGGTATCCGTTGGCGGCATAGTCATCCGCTAGCAGCTTGCTGTTATTGAAAATACCAAATACATCACCAAGCAGCAGGACTGCCTTTTCCGATTTGTCATTGTTCTTTGGGCGCGCAACATATGTAGTGACTAGATCCAAGAGCTCAGCATTAGCAAAAGTCACTTAATACAACCCGGGGGAAGGGGAGTTGTTTATTGTGAACTGAAGGGCTGTTTACTGTTGTTGATAGAGATAGTCTCTCCTGTGGGAGTTCCTTCATGCTTGAAGCCAGTGAAGCAACAGGCGGCAGGTGCGTTGGAGGCCATATTTTAAGATGTGAGAATGTCGTGAGTTTGCAATATTACAAGAGTCAGATCAAAGATATCGAATTAAGATTTCTCTCCAGGGAAACCGCCGATTTTTATGTACCCCAGTGGCGGTTTCTTTTTCTCATGTCCCGATCCCCGACCCCCGTTCCCCGTTCCTCGTTCCCCGCAAAGCACCCCGTAATTTCCCACCCCGCAGAATATACAGTAATGATGTGCCTGGTATCAGTTAATACTCGACCCGAAACATGATATAAAGTACAGTCCGGCTTTCGTTCGAATATCTCAATATGTGTCATATGTAATATAGGTGTAATTTTGAATGAGATTTACTTCATGGTCAACAGTTGAGTGACGCTCTGGAAGTGAAACTATCAATGATGATCCTTTGCATTCCACTCAGGATCTCCATGAATGAGAGAGGCCATTAAGGATGCCAATTTGCGTGAAAGTGCCCAGTGCCCTACGCGCCCCAGCAGATCAACCAGCGTTCCAAGCGTTCTGGAAGTCACTATCGTTGATCTTTGTTTTTCAGACCAATCATCCCCAAGCAATAACTCTTGAGAATGGATTTCCAACCTTGGAATTTCAGAAAACTGGATTTCAGAAACAGGGCACACAGGAGCGTGACGTGAGCCAAAGTTCAAAAAGCAGTACCAAACTAGGGCCGCCCAGTACAATACACGAGGGACGTGTACCGCGACATCAGCTCCAAGAGACATATTTTCTGACTTGCGCATAATTAGTACGGCATGTAGCGCACATCTGACGCCGCTTGCGGATTCTGCCCAATTTTTAGCATACTCACTGTGCAGCTGAGACTTTTGGAAGCCATCTCGTCCAGAGCACATCTCAAGGCGATTCATGTCTGCAGATAGTTGGATAAACGCTGAATGCCATAGAATTTCAAGACTGAATTTGTCGTGATCAGGGCTCTTGAAAAGCTGAGGATAATTGTCCTGGAAATCTAGTAAATCTTTTTCAAAGTGTGAGGACATGGCGAGCCAGGTTCCTAGTCCCTTAGCCCCGGATATTGCCGCTGATATGCTCTCCAATTTGGCGTATGCGCCAAAGGCTCCACGTTCACCTATCCCCTGCGAGGAGCAAAGAAAGTAGCTTTGATCCATCGATGGGGGGCTTTCAGAGGCGGTCACTCCGGAGTGAGCATTTAGGATGGTTATTATCCATTCCTGGTGAGTTTCAGCCTCCCATGAATTATTGGAACATAGTGAAGAATAGTCAACTAAGGCGTGGCGCAAGAGAGGATCTTCGGTGAACAGGGCAGAATATTCAGAGTCCTGGATATAGAGGGCAGCGGTGGCTCTACATGAAAGATATTAGCCGTATTCGAAACTGTGCCTATATATAACACGCCCAGCTTACCTGCATCGTTCTTCGCGTTTGGCCCAGATCTTCCACTTGCTTTCTAGATCCTGACTGTCCGCAGATAGATCGGTGGCAGCACTTTTGGAGGGTTCAAACATGCCACCTTTTCTTGCCCACTTTGAGCTATATTTCAGCAATCATGTTTCAAATGGCGGAGGTCTTGATTGAAAGCTCACAGCAATGATGGTTCCATGGAAGGACTGCATTGTGAAAAGATTGTTCGGCTTCTAGTCTTGTTAGACAAAATAATATACGGAATTGGATAGCACACCACCCACCCCTGAAAGTATAGCGTAGGTATGCCCAAGCAGAGCCGCTTGAATGACCATGAGAGCTGTATCGGGGCCACGTGATACGTACTTCTCCCACTGCGTGACTGTGTCAGTGATTTGTTTGGGACAAGTATTCACTGTGATATACACGCACCGAGGCTAAGGATGCTTTGTGCAGCCGATCAAACATCCTTTGTCCCATATTTTTAGCCTGAGGGGACCCCAAAAACAAACTTCCTAATGTGCACATTGCCATAAGTAGAAGTGGTTTGTTGCTTGATAGCCGAAAGGTCGGGAGGTGAATTATTGGAAAAATGGGATTGAATCGAGTGACAAACATCTGAAGGCAGAGGTTCTGGATCAATTAGCAATGCGAAGCTAAAAAAACAGAACAAGGAGCTTACCAGGAAATCCGCAGACGGGAGGCTTTGGTCCGGGGCTGGCGGGTGAAGTCGTTGATATAAGCCTTTCATGAAGTTTTCATCAATATGTTTGCGTTCGGCTCCATCGTCGGGGGTCGAGTAGCCTGTGCTCTGTACACTAACAAAGCTAAACCATTTTTGACGTAAAAGGTCCTCTTTGGGCAAGGTGGCGATATTTTCGTCAGCGGAGCGATAGTGATGAAGATCTGTAGCATCTGGTTTCATCATCCCATCCGGAAGTTGGAAAGACGACAACGATTCGAAAGAATCATCCGTATGTAAGTTGGAGTTGGCCCCCAAGTCCTCGCTGTTAATCCACATCGAAATATCCGATTCAAATGTGGCATTGCCAAATATGTCGTCAAACAAACGATTCATTGATGTGGGACTGAAAGACGCTTGACTTGGAGAGTTGTTCATCATACACAGTTCTGTTGCTATCTCGGGGGCGATGATATTCGTTGGCGAAAAGTTCTCATACGGAATATTCGACTGAGTGGGTAAAATTGGTTGCCAGCTGTCTTGAAATCCTGCTTGTGACTTGATAGACGTAGGTATAGCCTCAACGCCATTGCTGAAACTTGACCTCGCAGGCTTGACATTGGTTTCGGATGACCCTGGAGCTATGGACAGTAAAGAACCATTAGAGGACCGATGAGTCCGCATATGTCGCGTGAGAGTGTCACTATCCAACGATCAGTACGCCTTTCCTCCATGAATTCCCAGATCCTCAATGAAAGAGCCAATTCCTTGAGTTCCACTCACTTGCGACCGAACACTTTGCCGCATTCTGCACAGGAGAAAGGTTTCTCCCGAGTATGGGAGCGCAAGTGTCTCGTCAGGTGTTCTTTTTTGGAAAAGTGTTTGCGGCATGAGGAACAGAAGTTATCCCGGTTGGGTTTGGTGATGTTCGTCCGAGTGTGAGGCATGATGAGGGGTTGTTCGTGAAAGCCCTCCACAATTTGGACTCCGCATTTTGGGGGAAGCCAACTTACCGCGTCGCTCCGATTATTCAGCTGGGAAAGGTTTACCCCAGCTTTTGATTAGCGACTGAGGGTGGGATTTTGTTTTGCCTCCCATGGATCTGGTGGTGGCGCCCAGAAAGCTACCGAAATCACTAGTGAAAGAAATACGATTGGGACGGCGTATGATTGCATTCCAAGTCGACCACTGCCATAAGCCACAAATGCTATTAAAAGCAAAGCTACGGGGTTGCAGGACGTGGGTGCTCTCTACAGTCGAGCATCACCAGTTGCTAGATTGATTACTAGTTACTAGTGGCCCTTTAGTTCAGAATCCAATTCCAACATCAGACCGTCCAGTTTGCCAATATGATGATGACCATGGTCACTCTATTCCCAATAGCCTCTGGCTGCACTATATGCACAAGGCTTGTTAAGATCCACTCACGGTAGTTCTAGATCAGTCAGTCCTCGGTGCTCGGTCGTTAAGCTGAACCCCGGCATTATTAAGCACTAAGCCTGGTTTCATAATATCTGACTTGCACAAGCACAAAGATAGATCTTTGACAGAATCCATTCTTTTTTTCTGCGCCTTTTTTGGCCTTTTTCCGGACAATATCTGCCCGTGCCTTCGCTATGGCAAACGACAAGAAACTACACGACAACCTGTCGCGCGTCAAAGCTCCATCGCCCCTTGGAAAGTCGATCTTTGTTGGGCTTCGTTTGACCGATGCGCTTTGGCAATATGCATTCCTCCATCGGGGATGGGCCACCCAGTTCATCCAATGGCTGCGTGGAACGCCTGTTCCCGTGATGGATGTGGTTCAGGGCCGATTGAACCCCTACCATCAGATGTTTGTGGTCATGTCACTCGGCAGTGGCATCAAGCAAGCCATCCACATGGGACTGATCTCGGAACAAGAGCTCTCTGCTGGCCAGGGCCTCGGCATAGGCTTCTTCAACACCGTGTTTAACTCCACAAACATTCTTTTCTCCATTTGGTCCCTGACCTCCCAATCACCTGCCTCGGATACCTGGCTGGGTCTTCTTTCATCGCCATCGGTCGCCATTGGAGCGGCTGCTTACGCGGTTGGCATCGTGACAGAGTTGATGTCAGAATTGCAACGACAGAGATTCAAGAAGAATCCCGCCAACAAAGGAAAGCCATATGGCGGCGGTTTATTTTCCCTTGCGACAAATATCAATTATGGTGCCTATACCTTGTGGCGCGGCGGATTTGCCCTCGCTAGTGGCGGGTGGGCCTGGGGCCTCTTCACATGCTCTTTCTTCTTCTACGACTTTGTGACTCGTGGAGTTCCAGTCCTTGATCAATACTGTACCGAACGGGTAACTATCTCCTCGATTTCCCCCCGCCGAAGTGGCTTCGTACAGTACACGCTAACCGCTCGATACTTTAGTACGGAGCACCATGGACTGAAATCAAATCCCGCGTCCATTATCGTCTGCTGCCAGGCATCTATTAAGCGACCGACCGAAGTGGAACTCGTCCGATACGGTGATATTGAGTTGGAACAGACGCTCACATCTTGGGTTACAACTAGTTCCTACCGTTGACAAGGCTTGGATATAGCATTTTCGGCGTCCGAATTGCTGGAGACATCACGAAGGAAATCGGTTCATATCGCATACAATAATAAATTGACTCCAGCGTTCTATTCATGGGAAAATAAGGCGCGTAGGCTTATGACTGGAGCAAGATTAGCAATATTAGTGTATCAAGTGATTTTATTTTTATGGACTAAACGCTTTTCAATGACATACTTATCTCGGATTTACGGCCTAGGAAGCCTTAGTTCCTCATATCACCCGTGGACTTGATGGCCACTTACTAAGTCAAGGGTTGCTCAGCTATTAATCTTATATAATGATTATATTACCTCAATAGGGGCTGCTCGCCTACGTAGGTACCAATAATAACCATGCGATTCTAACAATTATCTCAACGACGCGGTGCTAAGTGCCGGCGCCATATATGCGCTCATCGGAAAGTGAATCGAGACATCACCTCACACGCTGATCTAAGGGTCTTTCTAGTCGGTGAGTTTGCCTTTTATGAGTAATAACTGAGAATAGCGAAGAGCGCGATCGCGACCTGACGTTCTAGGCAGGACGGCAAGAAAGTCCTGGGCATCAGGTAGCAATAGGGTGTGCATCTCACCTGTAGAAATCATACTGTAGAAGGGTCGCTCCTCCCGAAAAATGAGTACACTGATGAAATTGTCTTGTCTGAGACGTGGCCCCTTGTACGGTAGTTTTTGTAGAAATTGTTTCAACTCCGTTTCGAATAATGCAGACACGTTAATCTAGCTCCTCGCGAGGATCAGCTACTCGGCATATCGGCACACTTCACACTCTTGCAGTAAGAATCAATAATTCTCTCTTTTATCAAAGCACCGAAGCCCGACGCATACATTTAGTTGCTATGGCAAGCGCTCAACTCGGGATTTCGGGCCATCCAATACACCGACTGAAGTCTGTCCGTGTCCTTTTATGCAGGCACTCCCGATCCAACGAAGCAGCTTAAATTACATGACAGGTTTCTAAGATACTGTAGCTCCAGCCGTTATGAAGTGTAGAATGATCGAACAAGTTTCATTACTGTATGTAAAGGTATCACAGCAGGCGAGAGTTTCGTGATAAGGCAGTTCTATCGGCTATGCCTCGATAGTAAATTGACTAATCGATTAGACCCATAATGGCATTTGGGGCATTCAATTGCCTTCCAAGATACTCTGGTAACCTGTCACAATCTCCTTGAATATAGTATGCAGCATACTTTTGTACACCGTTATTCCGCTCGGTACAATGGGGCAATGAGCTTCGTTCTATATTAGTAAATCACCAGGGTAGCTGCATTAATTCCGCAATCCCGGCTAAATCAAGTCTACGTTGGAGAAGACTACTGGGCAGCTCGGGCTTCGGGCTTGGACTGCAACAAGACACTTGGTAATCATCGTGCTTCCTGGCAATGCCGAAGCCCGAGCAAAGGAGATTAGGCCAAAACGGATCGAACGGCCGACGAAAACCCTGAGTCTAGCATTGAAGGTTAATTATGTACACAAACCCTATGCGTCCCTCTTGATCGGATCCCCACTGCACCGTATGTGGCGGGGCCGTGTCTTGTCGGAATGCCTTTTTATTGTCACTCAGATCACTAGCATGGGATAGTAGCGCGAAATATATTCCCTCGTGTTTCTGACATGAAGACTCAATATCTAGCAACTTCGACCTTTTCAAATGCCATACTAGTTCCGTAAGAATGTGTTCATGAGTGGATGTGTTCATGATGTCAACGGGGCTCCATCACAAGCGGCACTTTGTGCGTCATCGGGGCCAACCCGGTGATGATTCATTCCCCCCTTGTTCGTACTTGTATTTACCCTCTCCCAGCTGTGACCATTTCAGTATAAATCATTCCAATAGGTCAGCAAAGTGGTCAAACCCAACAACACGTTCACCGCTTTGAAAGAAAACTTTCCAGGTGATTGATCAATCGTGGAACGAAAATGAGTGGATTCCTTTACAAGCATGTGTTGCTCGTCGGAGCAACCTCAGGAATCGGCAGTGGAATGGCAGACCGTCTGGTCGAAGCTGGGATCAAAGTAACAGCAGTCGGACGGCGGAAGGAGCGCCTGGACGAATTCGTCCAGAAGCACACTCAGAAGATGACTCAGGGACTGGTTTTCGATGTGGGTGACATTGGCAAGGCTCCTCAATTTGCCGCCGAGTGAGTACATTCGACAACGGTTCCAAGCAAGTTGCTAAACAATCATCGTCACAGTGTGATGAAGCAGTATCCAGATATCGACTGTGTCTTTCTCAATGCCGGGACTCAGCGATTTTATGATCTTACCAATCCTAAAGACTTTGACGTGAAAAGTTTCCAGCACGAGATCAACGTCAACTTCATGAGCAATGTTGCGTTGACTCAGGCATTCCTTCCTTTCATGATGCCCAAAAACTCAAGTTTCATATTGTGCGAATCTCTCAGAATCGGGTGACTTGGCTGAATCACACTAATAGTTCGTGCAGTACCACTTCCCTTTTGTCCATCACCCCTCTTAGCTCGATTCCCGCATATTCCGCCTCCAAAGCGGCACTGAATTCGTTCATTCTCTGTCTGAGAGAGCAGTTGAAAAGAAGCACCGTCAAAGTGATCGAAGTGTCTCCTCCTCTGGTGCAAAGTGAGCTACCATATTCGAGTCTGATGCGACATACCCTCCTAACTATATATCTTCTCGCAGCGGAGCTCAACGGACCCGTGGGTATGCCATTAAAGCAATACGTAGAAGAAACCTGGAAAGGGTTGGAGAGCGGAAGTGACCAGGTCGTTGGGGGGACTCTCGGAAACCCGAAACTTTTCATGAGCATCGTTCACAATCGTCGCAAGATATT